TTGCCACAGTGTCACATTGCCCCCAAAGCAGTTGTATGTGTCATATTAACTCCACATTGCTGCAGAGCACTTGGCACAGTGGCAATTTAACAACACAAAAACTTGCCTGTTGCCAGTATCACTGTGCCCCAAAGAAAATGCCTCAGTCCGTTTTCCCATTAAAAAAATACCAAAGTCAGTTTCCCATTAAACATATGCCAAGCCAGGTGCCCATTAGAAAAATATTACATAGGAGGCGTGGCCTGACCAGGGAACGAGCTGGACGCATCTGTCTAAAGCTCCGATCCCAACACGCCGAAAACAGCTAACAACAGCGAAAATATTCTACTACTCCACAACAAATGGAGAAGAGGAACCCTAAAAACTACCCAGGAAGGGACCAGAGACCGGGATATCGGTGCTGGACATGATGCTTGCACAAAAGAGCGGGTCGTCGGACAGCCAAGATGGCGCCAGACGGGGCTCCAGTTCATGGCCTCCCTCACCTCGCACTGCAGCCACGGAGGGTCTCAAAATGGGAGGCACCTCGCAGATTCTATCTAGGCTGACGGAGGTGCAAAGCTTCCTGGCAGGAGAAATAGAGAGATCAACAGCAGTTTTGCAAGCTGAGATCTCCGCACTGGGCGCAAGAACCGCCAGGCTTGAAGACCGCATGGAGGGCACTGTCAAAGCCCACAATATGGCCGCCGCACATATCAATAAACTTACAGCTCGCATGGCAGAGGCTGAATTAGCATTGGAAAACATAGCCAACAGATCCAGAAGGAATAATTTCCTCCTGAGGGGCCTCCCTGAAAAAGATGACGAGGGACCTCTACAAACCCCTATCCTTTCCATATTTAAGCCATTACTACCAGACCTGCCAGCGGACCAGTGGCATATCGAAAGGGTGCATAGGGCCCTCCGCGCTAGACGGCCAGATTCCAATTTACCTAGGGACGTGATTATCAAGTTTCTACACTTCCAAACGAAAGAGGCCTTGATACAGCGGAGCAGAGAAGAGAAACTACAATACAAGGGATCAGACCTCCAACTATACCAGGACTTGGCGCCCAGCACTCTTCAGCGACGAAGGGATTGGAAGCCGATCACGGAAGCCCTGCGGAGAGCCTGGGGATACCCCTTTAAATTGCTGGCTTTCCGTGAGGGCAGAGTCCACATCCTCTCCCCTGGAGGGGACCCACACAGCTTCTTCCGAGCCGTGGGAACGGCGCCACCACAGGGTCTACCCAAATTGTTGGAATCCATGAAGGAATTGGAGACCTTACCGACAGAGTGGCAGAGAGCTGGAGATGGGAGATGAAGCCGACCGGACCGGGTACAGATTTATTACAACCAGGGCTCGAGGTAATGACTGAGAAATCTGGGACACGGGGGGTGTGTGATTGGACTACTTGGGTGGGAGACGGGATGAAGGGAAAGGAGTCCGGTCTCAGTTGTACCTGCAAACACACCAGAGGGAGCTGAGGCTTCGCCTTACCAAGAACAAACTATGCAAGCAATAGACTGGGACACAGGGATGATGGGGGGGAGTGTTGGGGGGGACCTTCGGTTTACCCTTTCATTTGCACCATGGGTGGCCGAGGAGTAGGTTGTGGGCCTAACCATATGGGGATAAATCAACAGCAGGGAGGAAGGAGACGGGAGGCCCGCGGGGATAGTGGGCCGGACTCCGCCTCGGCCACCTCAGGCCGCCACAGGCCTAAGCATAGAGGGGCGCCTACAACAAACCGAGGGCTGGTATAACAGAATAAGCCCCTGAGTCACTCAGGAGCCCAGATAGGTAGTAGGGGACTTCTACTGGACCCTGGGCCACCCTACCACCTGATTGTATAAGGTTCACAATTTGTCACACGAGGGGACACATGCACGAATATGCATATAGCGCACCGTAGGGGGGGATTCAGAGGCGAAAGGGGGGGCTGGGGGGAGCAGGTCTACAACACCTTTGTCAGTTGTATCAGGCAGGGAACAGAGATGGTCCCATTTGACACCCTAAGACAGAGGGGACATCTTACACCCGCCGACTTCTTTCAGTACTTACAAATCAAACGAAAATGTTCTTTGAAAACATATGTATGCAGAAAAACATGCCCAAAGGTTTAATAACACTCCTCCATGCCCATCTTTGCTCGGAAACCAGGAAATGGAGGAACCTCACTTACACGACCTAATGGGAGAGGGATCTTGGGGAGGAATTGGAAGGAATAGAATGGCAGGAAATATGGGAAATTATGTTACCCTGCAGGAGCAATCGGTAAAAATAATGCTCCGTTGGTATACCACCCCTGTCAAATTGTATCACATGAGGAACTCTTCCCGACCGATCTGTGCTGGAGGGGCTGTGGGATGAAAGGGACATATATTCATATGTGGTGGGCGTGTCTTGTTATTAGCAGATTCTGGACACAAATTAGAGACATAATGACCCAGGTCTTCTCCAGAGCCCAGGACCCAGATCCATGGCTATACTTACTAAGCAGACCCATAGACGGTGGACCAGAAGCGAGCAAAAACTCATACACAAAATCACTCTAGCAGCAAGGAGAGCAGTGGCAGCAGATTGGCCCAAACAGAGAGCTCCTTCTGTAACAGGGGTGATTAATAGAATTAAAGGATCACTATAGTGCCAGGAAAACATACGCGTTTTGCTGGCACTATAGTGCCCCGCCCGGCTCTGGGGAGAGGAAGGGGTTAAAATCTTTCCTCCTCCTTTCCTTCTTCCTAGCGACGTCATCGGCTGAATGCGCATGCGCGGCAGAAGCCGCGCGCGCATTCAGCCAGTCTCATAGGAAAGCATTTACAATGCTTTCCTATTGGCGCTGGCATCTTCTCACTGTGATTTTCACAGTGAGAAGCACGCAAACGCCTCTAGCGGCTGTCAATGAGACAGCCACTAGAGGCTGGATTAACCCTCAGTGTAAACATAGCAGTTTCTCTGAAAAAAAAGGGTTAATTCTAGCTGGACCAGGCACCCAGACCACTTCATTAAGCTGAAGTAGTCTGGGTGCCTATAGTGGTCCTTTAAAGAAGTTCACTTGATGGACGACCTGACGGCCAGGGGGAGGGGTACTCAGAAGACCTTCCAAAGAATATGGGAACCATGGGAAAGATGCCCCATGGGAACATAGAAAGTGACAGAACGTCCGCCTCACCCCCCTCCATCCCCCCTCCCTCTCTCCCCTCGGCCTTGTCTTCTTAAGTTTCCTACTCATCCTTTTTCTGTATATCTCCATTTTCTCCCCATACCTCATGGGGTAACCTGATAATATTTAATAACTAAAAACAAACCCGATAACTCTTCCCTGGAAATAAATTGACACCGCATACGAAACCTATGGAGTCTATGTATCTATGGGTCCACTGGGTTAGGCTTTAACAGGGATCTAGGCAACAAGCAGAGAACTGCGCCAGACTCAAGGACAGATGGGAGGCCTGCCTACTTTGATGTCAAACAACACTAGGAAGTGGCAGGAGTAGGGGAATCAAAAGATTACAGAAGGCACCTAAAAAAGGTCTGGAGGTGTGAGGTATACATACTGTTTTCATCTTGTTCTACTCGTGTTACAAAATAAAAACCAACATTGACTGGAGATCAATACGAAGTGAAAAAAACTGGTTTATAGAGAGCGCAAAAAAAGAATATGTATATCAATAAAATAGTGGATTTTCTAAGCAGGTGCTTCAAATTATGATTATCCACAAGAAAAAGTTAATACAAAGCTGCCGGATACACTAAAAACCTTCCCAAGTTTTAAAACATCATGTGTGACATAAATTGAAATAAAAACAGTATCAGCGCTTAGTTAATATACCCCTATTTTTTGTATATGGGTCAACAACAAAAATATATTAAATAAATTAAATAAAGAGTCCCAGTTTCAATCTTCATGGGGTGTTTTCAAATGTCCGCAGGGATTTGATAGTTGTAACAGTGATTGGTGTAAAAAGACTTTGTCTTTATATGTATCCAACCTTAAATCAAAAAGATACTGACATAGCGTGATACAGTTACAATACTTTATTTCCCATACGGTAATCCCCCCATAAGAGGAACTCTTACAATTAAAAGTGGTGAAACTTATTTCTAAGGTTCACAATAAAAACGTAGAAATGCAGAATATTGGCTGATGAATATAAAGTTACCGCCCCGTGGATGTTATTTCCAGACCGGTCCTGTGCACTCAGATCGATCCTCACTGAGAAGCCAACTAGCCAATCTTACTGCAATCTCTCCAAATTCAAAAATCCCGCCAGAAACACGATCTACGCGTTTCGCTCATTCAAATGAGCTTTCTCAAGATACAGTGCTCTGGGGGATTGTGATTACATATATATCTCTCTAGCAATTAAATAATTAAAAAACAAGAAATTCATCTGGTACATTAATATCTTCCATTTAACTATGTGTTCTCTGATCCTCACTATATTTTCAGACTCATAGCAGTGTATCATTATTTCGTTTTGATTGATACAAATATACACAGTTTCTAAACATCGTGAATGGTTAATCCTAACACACAATCAGAATCAACATATTCCTCTATAATTAGTGGAACAATTAAGTTCCAGTGTTTCATGCATTAAAAATGAAAAATAAAGCATTTTATATTTCATCCTTTTTTTTCTCAATTAAGACATAGTAAAAACGCTGGTGTTCTAAACAAAATTCCAAATATAGTAAATAATAAAACACTCCTATAAATATACATAATTGCAGCATGAATTATAAAACTTAAATTAACTTATAAACATCATGAGTAATTAGTTCTATTAGACAAATTAAACTCAAATGCATTCTCTATAGTTTATGTAACAGTTAGGTTCCCATCTTTTATACAGTTTGGAAAAATGATGAACAATTCATATTTCTCTACTTTTTCATCTATTCAAACGTGAGAAATATCAGTCATAAATTAGTCTACCTTAAATGAATAAGTAGTTAAATATATCAGGCTCTTTACATCAGCCGATCCTTTGTATCTAACAGAGCAATTAAGCTCCGATCTTTGGTGCAGTGAAAAAAAGACGATCTATTTTATCTACAGTTCCTATTTCACATTACCTCTTGTTTCCAAATGCTTTTAACAGCCATAGGAGATAACAGTTAAGATAATGCAGTCGTAAAAGAGAAATGTTTAAATCCCTTAAAGGCACAGACTTTCTTTCTATTCAATTTTATCAGCCCGTGTATTCTAAACTTTTTCACCAGGGATATCATACAAATTCCAGAATCTAATGAGAATAAATAACCAAATGTCAATAAAAGCTTTTAGAATAAAAAGAAAACTTATAAAAATATATATAATATATATATTATGAATCCTGTTAAAAAATCTCATTTCCATTCTCTATATCAGGTCATAAAATATGTGCTATTTCAAATTCAGCATTAAGCCCAAATGGAGTTAGGGTTTTTAAAGTATAAATCCAATAAGTTTCTCTATATATTAAACTTTTCACTAAATCCCCTCCCCTCCAAGGGACTTTAATTTTCTGGATTCCACAATAAGATAGGGATGCTGGGTTGCTGTTGTGGTATATCTTAAAATGTTCTGACAATGAATGTTTTTCAAATTTTCTGTTAATATTATACACGTGTTCTCCCAATCTTGTCTTAAGCATTCGTTTAGTTTGTCCCACATACTGTAAACCACAAGTGCAACTCAATAAATAAATGATTTGTTTGGAATTGCAAGTTATGCATTCCTTTATTTTATATTTTTTCTTGGTAGTTGTAGATGAATATTCTAGGGTGACCCCAAAAGGTGGACCTACTAATTTACATATTCTACAGGACCCACATTTAAAAAAACCTATATGAGAATTTAAAAAATGTTTCTCAGGAGACGGTCTTATGTGGCTATGTACTAATTTATCCTTTAACGTCGGTGCTCCCCTAAATATAATTTTAGGTTTTGGAGGTAGTATTGATGCCAATATTTGGTCTTGTTTCAACAAGTCCCAATTTTTGAGTACTGCCCTCTTGATATAGTTGGTCTGGGCATTAAAATTAAAGATGAGGGGACAAAAAAACGTTTCCTTATTCTCGTCCATCTTTTTCTCTCTCAGTGCTAAAATCTCCGTTCTAGTAATTTTGGAGACTTTCTCTGATGCCCTATCAAGTAAATCCGAGTCATACTTTTTGTCTAAAAATTGTCTTTTAACTTTTAATATTTGGTCCCTACACACTTCTTCCTCTGTACAATTCTTTTTGATTCTTAGAAATTGGCTGTAGGGAACATTTTGTAGCCAAGAAGGGAAATGACAGCTAGATGTCCAAATGAAGCTGTTTACATCAACAAGTTTGAAAAAGGTTTTAGATTTTAAAATCTCTTGTTCTACATATAAAGCTAAATCCAAAAATTCCACATGTTCTTGGCTGTAGGAATATGTGAAAGACAAGTTAAAATTATTATTATTGAGATGTGTTAAAAACTCCAAAAGTGCCGCCTCTGTACTCTCCCAGATAAAAAAGCAGTCATCTATATACCGTTTATATAGGACTAGGTTTGCTACCCAGCAGTGCCCTTGCCAGATAAACAGCTCCTCCCAATATGACATAAAAATGTTGGCATAGCTGGGTGCAAACCTAGTCCCCATGGCAGTTCCATTTATCTGTAAATAAATATCCTCCTTATACCAGAAAAAATTATGTTTCAGTATGAAATCCATACATTCTAGTAAAAATTCCACCTGTTCCATGTTAAAACTCTGATTCTCATACAGAATATGTCTCATAGCTTGTATCCCTAAATCATGTTGGATTACGGTGTATAATGAGGTTACATCACAGGTAACTAGCCATCGGTCTTTCTTCCACGTAATCCCCTGAAGTATTCTCAGGAGATCACTACTGTCTTTAAGATAAGATTTTGAGAGTTTGACAACTGGTTGTAACAGCACGTCTATATATTGTGAAAGATTTGCTGTTAGCGAATCTATCCCTGAAATAATAGGTCTTCCAGGGGGTTGTGTGATGCTCTTATGCACTTTGGGGAGGTAGTAAAATACAGGTTTTTTAACATGTATCACCGTAACAAAATCAAGTTCTTTTTTAGTTAAAATTCCCATATAGCTTCCCTTTTCTAATAATGTTAACAGGGATTTTCTAAACTCTACAGTTGGATCTTTATTAAGTCTTTTGTAGGTACTTTGATCATTCAAAATTCTATTACATTCGCCTCAAAAATTGGGACTTGTTGAAACAAGACCAAATATTGGCATCAATACTACCTCCAAAACCTAAAATTATATTTAGGGGAGCACCGACCCTCAAAAATTGGGACTTGTTGAAACAAGACCAAATATTGGCATCAATACTACCTCCAAAACCTAAAATTATATTTAGGGGAGCACCGACTCTCAAAAATTGGGACTTGTTGAAACAAGACCAAATATTGGCATCAATACTACCTCCAAAACCTAAAATTATATTTAGGGGAGCACCGACGCTCAAAAATTGGGACTTGTTGAAACAAGACCAAATATTGGCATCAATACTACCTCCAAAACCTAAAATTATATTTAGGGGAGCACCGACACTCAAAAATTGGGACTTGTTGAAACAAGACCAAATATTGGCATCAATACTACCTCCAAAACCTAAAATTATATTTAGGGGAGCACCGACGTTAAAGGACTCAAAAATTGGGACTTGTTGAAACAAGACCAAATATTGGCATCAATACTACCTCCAAAACCTAAAATTATATTTAGGGGAGCACCGACGTTAAAGGATAAATTAGTACATAGCCACATAAGACCGTCTCCTGAGAAAAATTTTTTAAATTCTCATATAGGTTTTTTTAAATGTGGGTCCTGTAGAATATGTAAATTAGTAGGTCCACCTTTTGGGGTCACCCTAGAATATTCATCTACAACTACCAAGAAAAAATATAAAATAAAGGAATGCATAACTTGCAATTCCAAACAAATCATTTATTTATTGAGTTGCACTTGTGGTTTACAGTATGTGGGACAAACTAAACGAATGCTTAAGACAAGATTGGGAGAACACGTGTATAATATTAACAGAAAATTTGAAAAACATTCATTGTCAGAACATTTTAAGATATACCACAACAGCAACCCAGCATCCCTATCTTATTGTGGAATCCAGAAAATTAAAGTCCCTTGGAGGGGAGGGGATTTAGTGAAAAGTTTAATATATAGAGAAACTTATTGGATTTATACTTTAAAAACCCTAACTCCATTTGGGCTTAATGCTGAATTTGAAATAGCACATATTTTATGACCTGATATAGAGAATGGAAATGAGATTTTTTAACAGGATTCATAATATATATATTATATATATTTTTATAAGTTTTCTTTTTATTCTAAAAGTTTTATTGACATTTGGTTATTTATTCTCATTAGATTCTGGAATTTGTATGATATCCCTGGTGAAAAAGTTTAGAATACACGGGCTGATAAAATTGAATAGAAAGAAAGTCTGTGCCTTTAAGGGATTTAAACATTTCTCTTTTACGACTGCATTATCTTAACTGTTATCTCCTATGGCTGTTAAAAGCATTTGGAAACAAGAGGTAATGTGAAATAGGAACTGTAGATAAAATAGATCGTCTTTTTTCACTGCACCAAAGATCGGAGCTTAATTGCTCTGTTAGATACAAAGGATCGGCTGATGTAAAGAGCCTGATATATTTAACTACTTATTCATTTAAGGTAGACTAATTTATGACTGATATTTCTCACGTTTGAATAGATGAAAAAGTAGAGAAATATGAATTGTTCATCATTTTTCCAAACTGTATAAAAGATGGGAACCTAACTGTTACATAAACTATAGAGAATGCATTTGAGTTTAATTTGTCTAATAGAACTAATTACTCATGATGTTTATAAGTTAATTTAAGTTTTATAATTCATGCTGCAATTATGTATATTTATAGGAGTGTTTTATTATTTACTATATTTGGAATTTTGTTTAGAACACCAGCGTTTTTACTATGTCTTAATTGAGAAAAAAAGGATGAAATATAAAATGCTTTATTTTTCATTTTTAATGCATGAAACACTGGAACTTAATTGTTCCACTAATTATAGAGGAATATGTTGATTCTGATTGTGTGTTAGGATTAACCATTCACGATGTTTAGAAACTGTGTATATTTGTATCAATCAAAATGAAATAATGATACACTGCTATGAGTCTGAAAATATAGTGAGGATCAGAGAACACATAGTTAAATGGAAGATATTAATGTACCAGATGAATTTCTTGTTTTTTAATTATTTAATTGCTAGAGAGATATATATGTAATCACAATCCCCCAGAGCACTGTATCTTGAGAAAGCTCATTTGAATGAGTGAAACGCGTAGATCGTGTTTCTGGCGGGATTTTTGAATTTGGAGAGATTGCAGTAAGATTGGCTAGTTGGCTTCTCAGTGAGGATCGATCTGAGTGCACAGGACCGGTCTGGAAATAACATCCACGGAGCGGTAACTTTATATTCATCAGCCAATATTCTGCATTTCTACGTTTTTATTGTGAACCTTAGAAATAAGTTTCACCACTTTTAATTGTAAGAGTTCCTCTTATGGGGGGATTACCGTATGGGAAATAAAGTATTGTAACTGTATCACGCTATGTCAGTATCTTTTTGATTTAAGGTTGGATACATATAAAGACAAAGTCTTTTTACACCAATCACTGTTACAACTATCAAATCCCTGCGGACATTTGAAAACACCCCATGAAGATTGAAACTGGGACTCTTTATTTAATTTATTTAATATATTTTTGTTGTTGACCCATATACAAAAAATAGGGGTATATTAACTAAGCGCTGATACTGTTTTTATTTCATTGACTGGAGATCGATGACTAGTTAGCGTATACAACCTTGTGATGTGATATATGTATTAATTGTTTGTATTCACATTGTATTCAACTGCACGGTTAATTACATTGAGCATGTCAGTTCATTATGTCAATGCTAAATAAATAATTGAAAAAAATAAATATTACAATCAGTGTGCCAAATAATAAATAATAAATTCCACAATAAACTTGGCAATGAATAAAAGCTACAGTAAATTTGCTCATTAATAAATAACACAGTTGGTGTACCCATTAATAAATATCACACTGATGCACAGAGACACACATTGACAAACTCAGACATGCAATGCAATATGTATTGGGTTGCATGTATTTCTGAGTATGTCTGCTATTGTCTACCTGAGTATATAC